GGATCCTACGGTACCATACTTACAGGCGCTTTGCCTTGTTGCTATATCACCTACTGTGGTGGGTCTAGTTACCAATTCCTGCCTATCAAAACTTCACATTTCTACAGCTTATTACCATTACAGGAGCAGTTGCTATTACAATTAATTCCTGGAACCAGTAAAATGCTGGCTTACAGGTAAGGAAGTAGGATAACAAAACGAGTCTGGTCTGTGTAGTTCAAGTCATTTGGAAAAATGTCTATTAAATCAAGATACAAGAGGATCAGGGCTGAAGCAAGAAGTAGCATGCTGGAGAGTTTTAAACTTGGGGGAGGCAGGACACAACATTCTCTGTAGTTGCTGTTTCATTATTGGATTTGTTGCATCGGTTTTGTTTCTTTTCCCATGTGGGATTTCTCTGCTTCTGAGAAGTTGCTCTTTTTCTTCCTGGCATTGTTAGGTCAACAGGGGCCAGGAGTCAGGGCAGACTGCGCTCTTCAGTGTTGAAAGATACTGATACACATGCAGCCACCATACAGTTTTTCTAAATCACACAGTGTTTTTTAAGCCAGTGTCTTCTTGGCAACTGATTGGCATAATCAGAGGGTAGGGCTTCTTTTTATTTTTGCTGCGTGGCTATCAGCACATGAGCTGATGCAGGGTTTCTTTCTGACTGGATGCCGGTGAGGTCATCCAGGCTGGGCACCGCACCGAGGCTGGTGATGCCGGTGCTCTTCCCCAGCTCCACCACACGTTGCTTGGCCACCTCGATGTATCTGGTCCCCTCTCTTTCCTCTGTCGTCTCTGAATTCTTCAGGCAGGAGCTCTAGTTTCCCACTGTGTCAGCATAGTGTCAGTTCCCATCAGGGCTTAATTTAATTCAGTCCTCATAGTGTTACTGTACTACAAGTGAGAAAATGGTGTGTCTGATATCACCCACCTCCTCAAATCATCTCCTTAAGTCAAGGACTCCACTACCAGAGAGTTCTGAAAATTTGAAATTCTTGCAACACAATAGAAAACTGCTTTCTCTTTTCCCCTACGTCTTAAATACAAAAAGAATAATGTGGAAAACCCAAATTATATTTTCGTAAGATACGTATGCAATAGGTGTTTGGCACAGAAAGTTTAGTCGCCCTGACAAAATAATTATTTCCCATGACAAAATAACTTAAAAGCTGAGCAGGGGGACAAAGGACCTGTTCATTCCTTGAGCCCAGTAAAAGGTGATCAGTGAGACCACAATATCACTTCTGTTTTCTAGAGTGGTTATCCAACCCCCACCCCAAATCTAATCCCTGCAGCTTTCTGAAGAACGTATAATCAGAAACATGACACTGCCAGCCAAGCTTTAATGTTTGGACTTTATAATTGAGGGAGAATACATATATTCATTGCAGTCAAAATACAGAGAAATGCCCAGTGGAAGACACCTTGGAAGAGATGATAAGGATGTATAATAGTATTTCTGGACTCTGGTTGTTCTGTGCCCTCCTGTAGTGTGCAGTTGCCACCTATTAATTAATTGCTGCCAGTTAACAAATGCATCCATTCTGTAACAGAATTGCATTGAATTTCTTTCCAATTTGTCAGGTCTTTTTGTCTTACTCTTCCTTTCCTAGATCACATTTGTGGCTGGTAAACAGGTTTCTGAAATGCAGTCTCACACACTTTGATTTTGAGTTAGCTTTCTTCTCTGCAGGACACAGCTATATACTGTACCTTTAAGTACCCAAATCAATTTAATTAAATTTCATTACAGGCACTAGAGCTGAAACAAACTAATGAAAGCAGCCATCACGTCAGGTGGTATTTATCTCGGCATTAAATTGAAAATACTCCCTTTAGGCTCTTAAAAATTAGTTTCAATATTTAACGCTAATAGCTTTTGGAATTGTTGATGGGGATGGTTTTAATGAATTTGTTACAAACTGTTTACCTTTCCAAGGGAAGAAGCTTGTTCCTTGCAGCAGAGGAGAGCTGAAGATAGATGACTTAAAACTATTTACGGTTTTGGAACACAGTGAGTTCTGGGAGCTGCCCATAATGCTGTTGAAAAACACCACGAAGGTTGTCGTCCAGCGATAGCAACGTGCCTTGTTTAGTCAAAGGCGATGCCAAGTCACCACAGTACCTTGCGTTAAGAGTTTATTGTTGGCCTGACTAGTTGTGTTGAGCAGATCAGGCTTGCCAGCTTGAAAGTTTGTGGCAAATTTTATTTGAAGACCGCATTATAGCCACTACTCTCAGCAGAGAGAAAAGTGAAAATTTGCAGGGAGGAGAAGAAGGAAAAACATCTGCCGCACAGGAGGATGCTACTGCCAGCATCCCAACTGCAGCTGGATTTTGCTCCCCCACTGCTGAGGCACCTTGCAATGCTGGTTCTGAGGAAGCAGCGTTGACAAAGTACCCGTTGACATTCTGCCACGCACTTTTCCTGTAGAGTCCGTGGAGCTGTGCAGATAGTGGGGATTTATTTCGTCCACTTCCCATCAGAGCCAGGGTCCAGGTATATTAATATATTAATACAGATGGAATAGACAGCAGGAAGAAAGGTTTAGGGGAAGATTCAGGTCACTTTTTTCTGACCCACATGCCAGGGATTTATTTGAGGGAAGCAAGAGTGCAAAAGGAGAGAGGCCAGGTGGCCATGCATGCATCCAGGTCCACAAAGCTGGAAGTATTTCTCACTTGCACATGTAAGCATGGCTGATGTCTCCTCCTTTTGCAGGCAGATAGTAATAAATAGTCCATTCCTTCTCCTTTTATCAGATCTAGAGTTTGTCCTCTTGGTATCTTCCTCTTCACCCATCTGTTTAAAAGAAAATAAATTATCAGAATACTGTAACGGAGTGAGTTATAGAGTCACCTTTCTGGTGAGAACTTCTGTGCTACTTCATTTTTATAGTAGAGAAATCACTGTGCAATTTATTATTAACAAGAGCTGTAAAAATAATGCTAAGTATGTTATTTACAGTCTTGATGCTTGGGTAAGTTTATTGGGCTTAAGCTATTCATTATAAATAAAACTAGAAACTATTATTTTTAAATATATATATGTATTTTACATATATACATATTATCTACATATGTATATTGAAAAGTTTCTAATTATTTCCAGTTTGATTTAACATTAAGAAGTTAGGGCTTTACAGATGGTTTTGTTTGCATTCTCATTGATCCTGCCTCTAGGTTGGAGGACGCAGCTTGTGTAGAAGCTGCTTGTTGGAAATGAAAGACTGGATATAGAAAATTTTGGTTTAAGCAAGTGGTATTAAAGATTAACTACTACTTTTTTCAAGTTACTAGTTTTTATTAATTAACTGTTTCTCTTCCTTATATTTTCTTATATGACTGCCATGAAATATGAGGTGCAGTTCAGTGAAGTGTCCTAAACATGAGCGACCTCTCTGGACAAACGCTCACTGTCAACTCTAGGGAAAGTCATGGCTCTGCTGTGGAAGCTGAGGCCCAGACTTCACTCTTCCTTTTGTTTTCCTTTGAAATTACGACCGAGATACATGCGTGCTTAGACAAATGCATTATGTAAGGAATACAGACGTTCTGAATCTGCAGTTAGGTGTCACATCTGTCTATCCTAATTTACTTACAACATTTCCCTCTACATCAAGTATAAATATCTTCTTTCCTCCTGTGGTTTTAAAAGCAAAAGTGTCACACTCTTGCTGAGTTCTCTTTCTTAAAAGTTCAGTGGAAGGGGGTTTTTCAGGCCATTTTCTCTTGCAATTCCGAGAGCCAGGGGCCTGCGGTTTCTGTGAAGGGAACAAAGGCAGAGAGATGCCTTGGGCAAAGGCAGAGAGCGGGAGGGAATGGGATTCAGGCTTGGATGCCTGGAGTAGCCTGAGCAGGGGTGGGGGGAATATTCTTTACTACCCCAACGGAGAAATTTTTTTCTGTAAATGAGAGGAAAATTCCAGCCATTTTTTGGTAATTTTATATTGTGTTTGTTTTTATTCAGCATTTCATTGCAAAAATTTTGTTTAGCGCCGTGCCAGGTGCTTGACTCGATTCCCCCTGAGCCCAAGAGAAAGTAGGCATTTTTAAAAGGTTTATGCCTTCAGTGCAAGACTGGGGAAACTCTGTGTTACTGATGTAGATTTAACGTTAAGCGGTGATAAAGACAGTTAAAATCTATCAGTACTTTAAGATGTTTGAAATACTGTCATTTAATAAGAGCACTAGCGAAAGTCAATTTTTTCTCTCACGATACTTTCAAACTATTTTTAATATCCATTTCAAAATGTAAAGTGCATTATTTTGGATTACTGCATTATATTATGGTACAGGAACAAAACATGAATTATTAAAACTCCCCTTTTTTATTCCTGACCTAGCTGTTTCTGGTGTTTGTATTACTTTGTTTCTTTTTTTTTTTTTAAATACATCACCATTATCACCGGTTTTAATAGAATGAATAGAATTTCTTCCTGTACATCTTGGAGAAAAATGCAACGAGGAAAATGTATTGATTATTTTTCTCTTACGTGTGAACAAATGGGCAGTTAATATTACTAGACTATGGATACCCACATAGTTTTGATAATCCTGGGGCTTCCCTATCTACTTAGTCAAAAAATTTCAGATAAGATAGAAATAATTCAAAACAAAAACTGATTTTCACCATGAAGACAAGCAGTCTTACAATTTGGAATATTTTCATAACCCGAATGCTGTTTGCAATGTGAAAACAGAGGCATGGAAAAAGACAGAACTATTAGACAAATAGCCTAAAAAGCTGTTCGGTGTTTTCATAATTTGAGTCTTTCTGAAATGTGGTTTTTTACAGAACTTTCTGCGTTTTAATTTTTCTCCTGGTGTGTCAGTACAGTTAGCACGTCCTATCCTATACCACTAAGAGTATTTGCCACCCAGTGGCAGGAAGAAGATAGTAGCCCACTTGCATATGCGTAGCGAAAACACTAGAGGAAAATACTCTGTACTTAAAATGGGGAACTGTATGGTGTTGTCCCTGACTGCTGTCGCAATGTTTGATGTTGCAGGACGGATGGTCACAGTATCACTTTGTAGCCTCATCTTCAACAATAGAAAGGGATCGGCAAAGACCGTACTCTTCATCCCGCACGCCCTCCATCTCTCCCGTGCGCATGTCTCCTAACAACCGCTCAGGTAAGACCAGGCTTTCAGGACTGAAGGACAGACAGAAGTGATCCATCACTGTCATCTCCCTTCTTTAAGCAGTGTCACTGGCATCCGGATTTGTTGTTAACAATGGTGGAAGGGCACAAAATACATTCTTTGCTCTTCCCTGAACTTTCTGGTCAAAACAGGAATTTATTTTTTTAACACCTTGTAAAGTTTTACAGCACAAAGAATATTCCATAACTTTTTGTTATGAATTCTTTTGCAGTGTTTTCCTGATTGGGATTGCCTGCCTAGGTCTCGGGGCAATGGTGCCCATCTGTAGCATGAGGAAATTCTGTTACTCACTTTGCTAGTGATGAAAACCACTATGTTGTTTATGACCACTCTGCACACTAAGCAGAAGTTGAAGGATCCACATTATTTTTTTCTCAGCTTCTATTCTGATCATGTGTGTATAAGTGTGGGTATACATGCATATGTAAGTTTCACAAGAGATTGGTCTTCATGTAGCGTTGATGGCATATTTACACCAGCTACCATAATTCTGTATACACTGAATTAATATATCTCAACTTATGCCACATTGTTAATTAATTTTTCTATTCAGAAATCTGTATGTTTTCCTCTCAGCTTATTTTAAGGTAGAACATACCCTAGTTAGATAAAACCATTCCCAGTGAAAATCTTCACAGAGTAAACCAGTCAGCCTTTCAATGTGCTTTTTACTACTTGTTCAATCAAATGCTGTCATTCATAAGTATACCAAGAGTTTAAATTAAAATTGGCCAAAACAATTATTGCCATCAATTGTGCCATAGTTTTGTTGTTAAGAAAATTGTTTCATTAATTATCCAGAAGCTGCATCTTAGTCCTGCAGAATAACCACTGAGGAAATCTGAAAATGTAGCCAGAAGTACAGTGAGAGCTGTTATTCAGTTTTCAAAAATCTATCATTACACAAGTCTGTAAAGGGCTCTTGTTCCTTTTTTTCTCCTCCAAAATCTCTTTTTCTCTGTAAATGCAGGGCACTTGAAATGTCTGTCCCTGAGACCTTAGTTCCATCTCTTGCCAGAACTGTCTCCTCACTTCTATAACCCTATTGCTTAAAGAACATACTTAAAGAAATTTTAGATTAAATCTTTCTGCCATCATCATAAGACTGGAAAAGGAGACATACAGTGGCTGTTTCTGAAGGAAGAGGAACCCATGTAATTACATATCAATCAGCTCAACTCATTCTAGAAAATTGCTGGAACAAATAATCACAATCTGAGCACCTCAAAGATAGTAGGAACATAACATACTGCTTAACTCTAGGAGAATCTCTTTCCAAATAGTAGTATAAGTTGCTGTCTGTCTGGTAGTATCCATATCAAATCCAAACATAGGTTCAATACAATTTGTTCTTATAAAACCCACCTGAATTCCTGCTACAAGATACTTAAAACGCTTTGTGGAAAGAATAGTCAATAAATGAAATCTACTGTAATCAGTAAAACTTTCACACACTATTTTTATCGGCAAGCTAGGGCAAACTAACAAACAGTCCAGAAAATGTCATGTGGCAAATAAAACACTGACTGAAAACCATTCGCAAAGCATGGGTATTGCTTATTGCCAAAATGGAAGAGTGCTTTGCTTGGAGGTTTGCCTTTTGCCTTGGGTCCAGTACTCTTCAGTGGTTTCATGAATGACCCAGATATTATACAAAGAATGCTTATCACCTTTGCAGGTGACATAAACCCAGGAGAAGCTCATGTACCTTGAAGGGCATTACTGGAATGCAGAGTGATCCTGAGAAAGTGGAAATACTGTCCAAAGGGAAAAAAGATCCAGTCCTTTACAAATAAATTATAAGGAGAATATCTGGCTAGGCAAAAGTTCTTTAAATTTTATTTAGGGAGTTTTGTCAATTGCAAACATTAATCGGGAGATGGAGAAATCAGGATCTGAGGGCACGCTGAATGGACCGTAATTGTTTAACTCGAATAAGAGAGGCACAAGATGGGGGGGGCAGTGGGCAGAGTACGCATCAAGTACTCAAGCACGTAACAGCCAGCTTTGATGAGGAACAGCATGAACTTTCTCTACTTTTATAGCAGACAAATGGAAATAATGAGCAGCAAGGAGTCAGGCTAGACATCAGGGAACAGTAGGGAAACAAAGCACTGGAACAGACTGCTTGGAGCAGTTATGCGGTCTCTGTCATTAGAGATCTTTAGTTTAGAAGAAAATCTGTCAAGAATTATTTTGGTATACTGGATCCTACCTTGGGGTAAGGAGTTGAAGTAGATGAACTCACAATGTCCCACCCGTCCCTAGGACTTGGTAGTAAGATGCTTTAACTAGCGTGGAGAGCTCTGTCTTCTTTTCTGTGTCCTTTAAGAGTAAGAGCAGAAAGTGTTGATACCACTTTTCGGTCTAATGTCAACCAATAATTTTATGCCTGCTTCCAGTAAAAACTCTGAAAGAAGGCACTTCTGGATTTTAACACTTGCCAGAAAGCAGTTGTTCTCACATGGGAAGGGAGAGAGAATTCCCACAGGGAACAGAGAGAGGTGGTTCTGTCTTTATCAGTCAAATTTGTTCAAAACACCAGAGTGCTTAAAAGCGCTACTGCAGTATGTGAAACAAAATGCATCCCTGTGTTAGCAACTTCTTCAGGGTTTGCGTTCTGCTTTGTTCCCTATTAGACTCAAGTTGACATTAGCTGATTTGGTAATTTAATGTCATGTTTTTTTATATCTGATGGATTATCAGCTTTAGAATTGCATCACCATTGACAAGCCATTTGAAAGCAATCCCCAGTTCTGATGGCTTCATAAGAAGAACAATCTGTCTTGTATTTGCTCAGTAGATTCAGAAGCCAGGGCCAGCAGAACCTTAAATGTAAGCAGAATTCAACATCACTTGTGCTTTCCTACTCCTTAATTAAGTACAAGTGCTTCCCTACTTCTGAAGTAAAAAATGTAACATAGTTTAGAGATGCTGAAAGACATAACTCACGATCAAGCTTCACAAATGAGCTTGTCCTACTTTTCCTTTTTTAAAGCAAGGATGTTTTTACTGCTTTTGACATTCTTTTGACGTATCAAATACCTGGGCCGAGGCAGGGGAGGGCGTGGAAGTAAGCACCAGCACTTCAGTTACTTCTGTACCACTGTGCTTTCACGAGGCTCTGGGGTGCTCTGCCACTCACCTTGCACTCCTTCCCCTGCCCTTCACAGCAGCGAAAGTGCATTGCAACAACTAAATATGTTGAAGTCAGTTTACCTGAAAGCTATTCTTTTTTCCTCTGCTTTTGTCCTTTTCCTAAGCATCGCAGGCTCTGAGTCTTCATGATCAGTGGCAGCAGTCACATTTTCCAGTGCATGAGAATCAAGTACAAGCCCAGTTCTCCTCCTAGTCACCTCATACTTTCCTCCTTTTAGCCACACCATAAGTATCAGTGATGAAGGGGTTAGTTTTAACGGTACCTTAAAGTAGCAGTTGTTCTTTTAATGGCAATTGTTCATACCTACATATTTAAAGACAGAAAAATTACTCAAATTACCTTTAAGTGTTAGGCATTCTTTGCTATATGTTTTCTACGAAAAACACTCTCTCTTTTCTTCCTGTCCCCATTAGAATCATGGGTTTGTTTCTTTTCAACAGAGAAGGGAGGAAAACATTTTATAAGGGTTTTTCCACACAGTTGAAAGTTAATGGTCTTTTCAACAGAAATAAATTACCATTTTGAGAAAAAAAAAGGGGGGGGGGAAATGGCTATACTAGAAAGTTTTGACAAGATAAAGAAATCAAAAAGCTAAAGGAAAAAAAATTCATTATTACTGTACTTTTTTTCTGAATGATCATCTTAGATGTTGGGTATAAGTGAAAAAAGTAAAACATTCAGAGAGAAAATTATGTCTGGAGTTGATTGTCCTGTGAATACATTTGTCCTGTATTTGAACTAACAGCACCTTTTATTTTCTTCCGTGATGGGTAGTGTTTCTTCAAACAGCTTAATGTTAGCATGCTAATAAATATAAACTTTACTAAAATGTTTACTCTAGAGTTAAACACTACATTCAGTCATATGTGGCGAGAAAAAATAAATCCATTTTTATGATCTAGCAAGTGCCCCAGCCTCACCTCGGGAAATGATCAGCCTAAAAGAAAGAAAAACAGACTATGAATCAACTGGAACAAACGCCACTTACCATGGAAATAAGGGAGAACACACTTCTAGGAAAGACACCATGACAGGTGAGATTATTCTTGCATAGCGTATATAAAAATCAGTTGTGATAGACCACTGATTTTATAGGCTTGGCTGGGTTTACTCTACTATAGGAAACCGTCAACCTGCTTTGGTTGATTCCAAAGTTTTAGCCACCTTGAGAAATACAACCAAAGAAATATTTGATCTTAATGAATACAATGCTGTGTGAAAATGATTTGTGAAGACTGTGTTTCTTCACAAAGGAAAGGCTCTAAAAGCAATTTTACATTTCTTTCTGTTTGTAAGTTTTGTTTTATTTTATTAACTAGCGTTGTTTCTGAAGCATGACAATGGTTGAGCATGTGCAGTGATCCCTAACATCCAGCTTTTGCAGGGAGTGGCTTTCTGGGACCGGTTAGCTTATTTTGCATGTCAGTCATCCCTAGGAAATTCCATAGCAGTTTGTAAAGTTTATCCCTGTTACTTTCTCAGCTGGGCTGATGTAAATGGAACAATTTTCTCTGTGTATGTTATGGCATCTATTGCGGGTTTCACCAAATGCTTCTCTCCCCTAGTGAGCTCATTAACCTGTTAGCATTTCAGTAATTGTAAAATTTTGAGTGCTTTGCCTAGTACTGCACCTCTTTGTTAATTCTCTTGCAAAATAGGTGTTGATCTCCATCACGATTGCACAGGCTTGTATAACCTCTGTTGAACGTTTTCATGCATTTATTCAGCGCCAAGCATCATGGAGTCCTCTCCTCCAAATGCTACCTCAGGGCAAGTAAAAAATCACAGTGAGGAGTCGCTCTGCGCTTTTGGAATGCCTGTTACCTTTTCCCACACCCTCTGTAGGGGTCTCGCTGAGAGGATGCCAGGATGGGCTGTCTTTGTGTTCCTCGGCTCACTGGGGACACCAATAGCATGCTGACTCAGCGTCAAGCCATCCATACTAGCTTTCAGGACCATATTTAGGATATGATGATACTCATACTGTGTCTACTGTGTTATACGCTATTCTGTTATCAAAACCTAAAGGCCAGCCTTTGAATTTATGAAAATGCAATATGGAACATTAAAAAGCATGGAAGTGAAAATCTGAAGAAGCGGAATGACAGTCAAGAGCTTTTGGGAACCACAGAAATGGGGAGTGTCCTGAACAGCGTCCACAGCGTACTGCATGAGGTTGCAGCAGATTCAATCAAGGTACTGCATTGTTTGGATCTGTAATATTTTGAGTGTTTCAGAGTGGTGGTTCTCTATGCAAGGTGGTTCTCTAAAACACTTCAGTGGTCCTTACTTGTGTGATTGTGAAGGATAGGACCGCGGTTTTTTCACCACTTTGTCAAGGATCCATGAAGAGGGAATCTCAGAAGTAAGAGCAGTAGGCTGAAAAAAGAGAATCATTAGTATTTTGTTCTAGCTGTATCTGCAAATTTAGACTACCAGATTATATCAGAAGGTTCAGAAAAAAAAGGGTTTCCGTGTGGAAAATCTGTTTCCTTGCAGAGTCTTGTCTCTCTCCACACTTTAAAGAAATTGGGGGTTTCTTTTTCCCCATCCCTTTTCATTTTGTCTTTTAATGTAGTATTTTTCTTCTCCCAATCCTGTTTCCCTTGTTTCCTTTCTCTTTCAATATAATTTTCAGATCATGAGGTTTGTACTTCCCCAGGAACCTTTTCTCCACTTTGATTTTTGCATCGTGTTTTCCTGCAATATCTGCTTGTGTTTTGTCTGATCTTATTGATCTTTTGGGTGGGCTTTTAGTAAGGAAACTCAAAACACTCAGCATCATGCTCAGCTATCGACTATTTTTCCAACTACTGGGCTCAGTGAGAAAAATCAAAACCAAAATCAAATTGAAAAGTGTAATAATATGTCACAATCTTATGTGACAGTTGTACAAATGAATATGAAATTAACAAATCACTTTCTCTCTCTTTCAGGTCACCAAATCTCTGTTCATTTGGTCTGAGCTCAAATTAAGCACCGTTTTAAGAACAAAAGAAAATGGGAGTTAGAAGGAGTCTCACTCGTCAACATTCAACATGAAATTTTTGTAGCATATTTGTAGTTCATAAAATAAATATTTCATTAAAGAACAATATAAAATCAGTATTTGTGATTTTAATTGTGAGACATTTTGGCTTGACTTGGATGGTCTAATAGAAGTTTGTGTAGCAAGTTCATTGCAGTGCTTATATTTCATTTTATGCATCAGACAATGCATTGCAGCTAATACATCCACAGAGCCTATGGGACTTCGATAAACCTTTTTTCAGGTTCCACCTGGCGTGTCCATATTTTGGGCTGCTCTTGTATTTTGTGCCAAGCTGATGTATTACACAAAGCTTTCTTTGACTTACGGATTTATACAGAATGTAGAGCCACTGTAGAGCTGTAGTCCCAATTTATCCACAACTGTCTCCATGCTCTTCTCCAAAGCTCTTCTCAGTTTATAGTTCAAAAATTTTATGACCTCTTGGCTGGGACTGAAATGAAGGTTTTTTTGATGGATTTTCAAAGTAGAAATGTTGACTTCTTGCTGTTGTGGGGAGTTGTCACGAAACCTCTGGGAAAAATGGAGAATCTATGAAGTAAACAGTTTGGCTGAAGATGATAACTTATATTGATTTCACAAGGGCAGCTAAAAAATAGAGGAACAGTATCAAAGTTCTCGTTGCCCTCTTCCCTTCACAGGTTTATGATACCTTGTATATTTACTATCCATCTTTTCTTCTCTGTAGAAAATAATAACCAATAATAAAATTTTATCACCTAAAGTATATTTTTAAGACAAAAACTATTATAGTCCTTTTAAAAAAACAGGAACTATAAGTGCATGTGATAACGTTATTTATGTCATGGTGTTTTCCTTCAGAACAGGGAAGATAAGGTTACTGTACGCTATCATGGGACTCCTGCTCTGAAGTTTCTTCTACTTTGTTAGTTCCCTCACTGAACTAATTCATACATCACAGTCTGCACCCTGTATCTTCACTTCCACCAGCAGAAACACCTTCTGATTAATTCATTGGCTTTTGGTTGTCAAGAATCAATCATCTATACTTCTGTCATTTAAACTTGCTTGCAAGTCCCTGCACATTCAGAACACAACAACCACCATCATCTGTTACAACAGCTACAGACGCTTGGGCTACTTGAACTTATTATTACTCTAAGAAACCATAATACACTGTAATCTTTTCTCATGCCCCTACCTCATCTTTCACCATGCAGGAAGGTGGCAGTGGTAGTGACGGGTAATGATCTCTGTTAGCTGAGATTTTTAAGGCACAGAAGCATTTTCCTTTACTGTCTTGAACTAAATTTTAGAAAATGGAGTCCTGCTGCTTATAGCAAAAAAAAAGCAGGCTATGCAATACCAGATGAGGATGACTACCTGTCCAGCTGAGCTTTCCTTTCTTACCATCAGTCTCCGTTTGTGAGGGCAAAAGGCTAGCACCCTGTTATTTCAGAGTGTCTGCAAATGTGTTGAGGAACAAGTACTTATAAGAACTGAAAGCTGAATGTCAAACCATGAATCAAGTGACTAGGATATATGGGGACGGCTTCGGTCAGTGATATCTTTGTCACATAAACCACTGAGTGACATAATTTTCAAAGCTGTTGTCAGCTTTGCAGAAAACTGCTGTGGGGAACTATATGATTTTTTTTAACCGATATCACCTTGAAAAAGGGACGGGGGGGGGAAAAAGAAAGGTATTTTTCTGTAATGTTCTTTATGCAATGCAACCACCAAGTACTGCAGGTTGATCATAGTACTCATTTTAGAACCCTCACAATTTTGCCTAGTAAAAAGTACCTCTTCTATACTATCATGTACTGATGTTTAGGTACTGCATAAAATACACACACACACACACACACACACACACACACATGACTCCTCAAATCATTGCATCTACAATTCTCCCATCTCTAAGGAAGTGTGGCTGCTGGAAAATCTCCATCTCTTGCTCCTTGTACACTTTTCCCTTCTCTTGACATGTTTTTAAAAAGAAAAAAAAATTACTTCATTAACCTTTCTTTCTCTCTGTTTGGTAATTTTACTATGACCGTATGTATACAATATTAACAGCAAAAAGTCAGATAATAACCACACAGTATCTGTCCATTCATCTAGCTCAATCTCTCCCTTCTTTCTTTTATATTTGCCCTCTGCTTTTGGACAGCAAGAGTCAACTGCTCACTGAAGCATGGCAGAGCGGGAATGGAGTTCCCAGGGATGCCGCCTGTGTGTTCAGAAGCAGGTACTGGAGTGGGGCTGCATGCATCGCTAGCAGCTACATTGCTTGACTTACATTTCCTCCAGACACAGAGTTATCTCAGCCTCCCAGCTAGACCAGGCCAAGATTTCTCATTCTTGAATTCCTGGCATTCATTTCCAAGCATCTGATGTGTCATTTTATTTCTTTTTATTACATTAAGAAAAGACTACTACTTTTTTTTTTTTTTTTTGCTTTTTAAACTTGTGAATTTGTATCCACATCACTGCAATGAAATCAGCAGACGCAGACCTTGCAGCTATTTTCATAAGCTGAAACTATCCATTTTTCTATCGCAGAGTATGTGATCCAGGAGACTGTAAGTCTTCAATCTGTCATGTGACAATTCTGAGCGCATCATCATCAACTCCAGCCTATTTCTGGTTTTATAATAGTCATGGTTATTAGTGGCACATATATACCATGGTCCTTTCTATATACCTGAAAAAGGAGCAAAGGTCATGACCCTCCTTAAAGTCTCTCTGATTGCCTGTCAGAACATCTAAATTAGCATGTGCCCAGTTTGCTGGTTTTTTCATCAGATTCTTCATAAAACCCTCAGATGTTGCACCTGATACTAATCTTTTATTCTTGACATCAATCAACCATGAACAGTATTGGCCTGTCTGGGCTGAATATGTTCAGTCATGCTCAACTGAAAACTTGTATGCATGGAACTTCAACCCTGCTTATCTTGCAATGTATACACATGGAAACAAAATGCTTACAAGAACTTCTTCCTCTGTTTATGAGAGTCCAACACATCGAGTGTCACTTTCATTTTTTTCAAGAAGTAGCACTTCACACAATGGGTGGCTGAAACACTAGCTCTGAGTATCTGAGTATCTTCTCTGATCTTGAGAAGAGGAATTTGTATAACCCAACTTGTTCTAGCCCTTTGTAGGGCAAGCAAAAAACTCAGAAAAACGGCATAAAAAGATAGTATCAAGGAAATATCTGGCAGTTGTACTACTGAGAGTCATGCCATCGTGAGATGCACCATAAATAGCAATGCTGATGCAGACTCCTCTAATACCAAAGACTGTCATCAGGAGGGAGATTTTCAAACTAAAACAGAGGATGCAGCTGGAATATAAAAAACTTTGAAATAACAGTCAAGTCTCACACATCACTCAAGTTTGGTGACAAAATGCTGCCTGAGCAGAGAGAACCTCTGCAGATCAGCCCTTTGGTACTAACACCTACAGCCAAAGACAAACTACTCAAGCAGTCATCATTTCCATCTGTTACCACCTATTGGCACACAGGCAGAATTCAAAGTACCTACCACTGGAAAAGACCAGTTGTCATCTGTTACTAGAGTTTGTATTCTTCCCACCTTTAAAGAAAGGATCCCGCTGCACTCTGTTTCTGTAACTGCTTTTCAAGAAACAAGAGTTTTTTCATCCCTATTAATTAATGGTTATCAAGCGAAAAATCTCTTTTTCCAGCTGTTATGGTTCACTACCCCACCATATAAGCCCTGTCTTTACCTTGTTTCAAGAACATGCTGGAGATCTTTAAGAACACCACCTGAGATCTGTAAAGCAGCGACGTGGAACGGTGCACCATACACTGTCGAAAATTACACCCTCAGCACGCAACCTATAGCAGACATGAAGATGAGAATTGGCATATTACAGTCAACTTTGATTAAAGACCATGACGTTCCTTTTCTCCACAGAGGGTGTGATGGCTGGGGGAAAGGTAGAGGCTGGGGTCCGTGCTAGCAGGTCGCCAAAGGAAGAAAGAGTGGTTACTTCTTCAGTAACTGTGGTTCTTCTTAGTGATGTGACTAGCATGGATCCCATACCCAGCTTTCAGCTCTGGTGCTCAGTCCTCACCCTCAAAGGTTTTGAGTTGTGAAGGTAATTAAAAGCAACTCCTGGTGCCGCCAGGTTTCATACCTTGCACAGAGACCTGCGAGAAGTTCCATGAGCAACATGTTTCAATTCCACTGATGACTCTGATTCATGACTACTCAATTTTTACCTTCGGGCATGTGCTTTTATAATGAGAATCCTCATGACAGCATCAAATTATTGGTTACAATGTCTGGAAAGTTAGTAATGCGTGCCCAGTAAGAACAGTGCGCAGCAGCCACACAAAATACTGCCTTCATATTCTTTCAAATATGAGAAATAACTGTAATCTTTCTAGTTCTACTGGCAAACTAAGCTTCAGCTAGGTAGCCAAATCAAAGTGATCAGTGAAGTCAGCTTTGCAGGGAAAATCCTTAGCTTTTTATGTGGGTTTTTAGGACAGGGTGGGAAATAATTTTTTGCAAAACTGTATGATGTTATACTTGTCTTCAGAATTACTTCTGCTTTCATACTTATAGCTCAGTTTTGTCCATGCATTTTAGCAGTAGGACATCTGAGAAGGACGTGACAGCAGTTCATGGATTTGAGACTATCTTGGCCAGACCTCTTCAGCATAACTACATATTACTTTTTTGCATAGCTCATTTTTTCAGTTGCATTTAATCACTTTTCCCATTAATAATTTCACCATATAGCAAAAGCGCTGTAGGATAAATAATCCAGTATTTGGTGTAACATCATCCAACTGAAGTGAATAGAATGAAACGTTTCTTAATCTCAGTATTTAACTGTTACCTGTTTAGTGTATGCGTGTTACAAAATCCCATATAGAACCTGAAAATGTGTTACTGAATGCTACCTGTATATGAAGCCATTTTGGTGATTTATATGTGAAGATCGGTATGAACGTGACATAGCACCTGCTGCCATTAGTAAGTGTATACCATGTACATGCATGTTACACCAAAGCACAGATTAAGACTGTTTAGTGGGACAAAGAGAAAATAGAACTCTGCAGATGCTTTTAAGGATTTTTGTGTATAGGAAACAGGTGCTGAATAATGTATTTAAGAATTCATTTTGAGGCCGAAGAGGTATGTTTGGTAAACCTGCTTTCTCCTTCCTTTTTTGTCTCTCCAGCTCAGAACACTGGAATCTCAACTTTGTACAGGAATTCGTATGGTGCACCTGCTGAAGATATCAAACACAACCAGGTAAGTACGGTGACTGAAATGTTATTGTTCCAGATGGCAAAGGATCAGTGTAACATCTTGTATGGAAACTAAGGGAAACATCAGAAAGATTGATAAATCTAATTAGAGGAACTGAGTCATCTGCTTGCACAAACGCAAGCAATTACACTGGCTTCAAACAAGCTACATTCTTTATGCTAATGGATAATTTCACCCCAAGTTTCAAAAAATATCCAACAGGTTATGACAGCATATGCACAAAAATTAGCTAAGGTGTAACTCACGGTGGAATCAAGAGGAGCTTGAGACCTGAATGCCTTTAAAGTTCTGGATATGTGTGACACAGGCTACAAAAGCCAAGCTAACGTTAATGGTCACTTCCGCTGGCTTTGGTATCTCGTGATGTCCTGTGCCAATGAATTTGGTTAAGTCTCGTCACATCTTGCTACTGAAGTACAGCCATCATAAAACTCAACACCACTGCTGACACCGCACAGCTCACGTGCTAAGGCATCCTAGCAGAAACTCAAGTACTGAACGGTCCTGGAGAAAGAATCCCCTGTATCGTCTGCAGGGATGCGTACACTACACTTACACGTAGCAAAAGCCTTCAGATTTGCCATTTAGTCACTCCAGAAGCACGATTTAACAAGGGTTTTTGCTTGATTGTTTTATAATGCATGCACTGGGGCATGGGCAAGAGCATTTCATTGGGAAGGACGCTCTGTCATGTATATACATCCAAGCCATGCGGTCTAGAGCTTTGGGACTCACTTAAAAATGCCTTGCCCTGAAAACCAGTAAGCAAGAAGTACATCTGGATAAGGTGGGCATTACAAAAACATAATTGGCAGCATGGGTGCCAAGCTAATGCACTCACAGAAAAAACTTTAATATTGACATGTATGGCATTCATACAGCTGGTATTTCCAGTATAGTGTTTCCTCAGTCCCTGGGAAACAGACATTTTTCTGCACCCATAGGCTTTTGTTTCATCATTATGTGTAATGCTACTTTATACTTAATTATCACAACTCCTTGATATTTTCACAACTTCCCTATGTGGTATGCAAAATTTAAAGCATTTTTCAACTAGAGAAATGAGACAAAAAAACATTTAAGGAAAGCACTCAAAGTTACTAGTACTACCAGACAGGTAAATAAATACTTAGAAAATTGAGAAAAAATATTTTTCTCTGAAAATTTTTACTAGGTTGCCTGAAATTTCAATTTAAAAGACTGATTTCAGTCGTAATCCACAAACCTAATGTGAAGAGAGCTTCTGATATTCCATGCCCCCTTTCTCTTTATTGGTTTTGCTTTTTAATCAGCCAGTATTTCTTGCGGTGCACGATATTCCTTCTTTGTGTGAGCCAGTTCAGTGCATGAAGGTGTTTCTGCTTTTACTGCATTTAAAGAGATGAAGGAAGCCCTTCTAATTAACACAATATTTAGAGAAAATAAGGGTATGAGGTATTGTAACAGCAGGTACACTCTTAATTGCAGTCGTGAATCAACTAATTAGATTTTTGAAGCGAGAGTTGGAGCAAAAACAAAACAAACAAAAAAAACCCACCAAAAAGCAAAACCAGTTTTCCACCTTCTCCCACTTGCTTTCTCAATGAAACATCAGGTTTATGATTGCCATACCAGAAATAATTTTCTTAGCTAAAATGAACACAGAAATACTACTTCAGTCCCCTATTTTCTACTCAAAAACTGACCATCTCTAATTCTGTGGCATATAAATACTGTGCTTAGTACAGAAATTTTCTCCTGTGTCCAAAATTAAACACCTGTGTTTGTATATGTGAAAAGAAACAAGGGGCTCAAGGTCCTATACACCTTGATAGCAGTACTAGAGATAGAACCTAGAGTAGTTGTGCTCCCTTGGGCCCAGCGTTGTAAGATCACTTGTAGGACTGTTAAAAGACATGGACAGCCTTTTGCACCCTACGCACAGAGTCCAGTACAGACCTGCTTTGAGAGAATATCACAGAGTCTGGGACACAGCGGTGCAACGGTTCCTCTCTCCTTGAAGGAGCACTGCTAACTCTTGCAGAGTCAGCAGGATCTACAGATTCTTCTGACTCCAACGTCTGAGCATCGGTACTCCCAGTGACGACCATTTGAGGATTGAAAGGCTATGTCATTTCACAGTCACAAAGTCTGCCCAAACTTAATAGCGGTGGCATAGAGTGAAAGGCAGTGTTCCAGCTACAAGAAGAGAGACTGGCTGGGGGCTGTCTGAAAAAAACATGGCAAACATAGGGTAGGGGACCACCTGAGATTTTTTTTTTTTTTTCTGCATATCGTAAATATTTTGGCATCAAGGCAACTTGCGGGAATGTAGCAACAACGCAAGATCGCCAACATGACGTGTTAAGGAGGTGGTAAGAAGATTGTTCTGCTTAGCAGTAGCAGAAGAACGCATTGCAGGGCACATAGCTTGAAATTTTCTCATGTCAGTGCCCTGAAGACTGTAAGTGGATCTTAAGGCTATGGTGTCACTCTCAATCTCACTTGTGGCAAAGGCAGCTGCAAAATGTTCAGCATCTTTGGACTGTGTATTGCTTCCATTCAAATTCTTCAAGGCTGTTTTGGCCACCAATGTTTGCATTATATAGCTGCAAAATAGTCAGGAAGTTATATGCGGATTATAGTTACAAAAGTAACTGCAAGCTACGCTGCTTGAACGACCTCTGAAGTAAACCAGCATCTCTAGCAGCAATAATATTGAATAGTAAGTGTATTTAATAATATCATTAAATAAATAAATGTAAAGAAATGTAATGACAAGGCAAGGCTGTAGAATTAATTCACTACCATGCAACACCTTGAGCAGCTGTTAAGATAATGCACAACTTGGATGAGAAACACAGAGTGAGATTTGCTCCTTCTTCCATCCTGTTGCCCACAATAAGTCGTATCTCACAAGCTGTGGGTATTACTATTTTTCAGGTTTCAACACAGCCAGTTCCACAGGAGCCCAGCAGAAAAGATTATGAACCATATCAGCCGTTTCAGAATTCAACAAGAAACTATGATGAGTCCTTCTTTGAGGACCAAGTGCATCATCGTCCACCTGCAAGCGAATACAACATGCACCTGGGACTAAAGTCAACTGGCAACTACGTCGACTTCTATTCAGCTGCTCGTCCCTATAGTGAACTTAACTATGAAACAAGCCACTATCCAGCCTCTCCCGACTCCTGGGTTTGAGACTTGGGCAGATACAAAAGCTCCAGGAACTGTGCATGTGCATGCATACCACAAGACATTTTTTTTCCTGCAAATTTAGTTTGTTAAAGCCTGTTCCATAGGAAGGCCCAGATAACCAGTATGGAAAAAAATTAAGAGATTTTTTTAGAAGGCTAAAAGATACGAAAGCTAAACCTGGGAGTAATTAGAAAGAAATATATATATACATATATATATTTTACAGTGTGGGGCAACTTTACTGTTGGCCTGTAGAGTCTAAAGTTCAGTGCTGTATATTGAATGTGGCTGAGGGAAGGAGGGAGAACATGACAGTGGATGTGGGTCAAGAGTTAAGCACAAGTAACTGAGCAGCGTACATACTTTATGGGGAACAGCTTCTCACACTTTGTTTAATATCCTCATTCATTGTGAATCTAGGCTTCAAGTTGCATTTGGGGTTTCCTCTGTACAGCAAGATGTTTCTTGCCTTTTGTTAATGCATTGTTGTAAAGTATTTGATGTACATTACAGATAAAAAAAAAAAACCAAGTGCATTGTGTATATTACACCAATGCCACAGTGTTTCTTCATCTATGGTTCTAAATATTGCTTCAATTTCAAATTTTGAAAGATGTATGAATTTCCAGTTTTTTGTTTTCTTTTCCCCGGTGCGTTTTAACAAAAAAAAAAAATCAAAAAAAATCAAAAAAACAAAAAGGAATATTTAGCAGTATTGTTCGTTCTGATATGTGAATTTGTTTGTGGCAACTAAAAAAAAAGGCATTCAGCAGTTTCTGACAATTAACATTCATCATTCCACACTCCTTGTCAACGAAGTGCTTTTTCACTGCCTAAAATTTTAGATGTAGATATTTGAAATAGATTTTTTTCATTTATACCAGTTTTCTTTATGATGATACAGTGTTAAAAGAAAATAAATTACAATTGATCTGTCATCCATATTTGCTAAGAATGTCTATTTCCAAGAACCTACCATACAAATACACATTCTTACTTGTGTGTGTCCACATATGCCTAGTATTCCGTGTGCGTGTGTGTGTTTGAGTGTGTGCGTTTGTGTGGCGTAAGACTTCTTTTCATCCAGTGTTTTCCTTGTTCAAGCTTCAATTTTTGTTTGATTTTCAGTTTTTTTAAGCAGTGGAAACTCCAGTATGTGCTTTCTCTTACTCACTTTCTTAATCATTGATAGCAATTCAAAATTGCTAGGCCACATACTCGCAAAGGAAGGGGTTATCAGATTTTTTTCACCAACTCCTTCACCCTTAGGTGCCATTTCCTTTAAAATAGCATCTCTTGATCTTCTCTTGAGGAAATTTCATTACTCTCTGGCCACCAACGAGCAAGTGCTCAAGCAAGGCAGAGTTTGATTTTGCCATCTCCCTGAGGGAATGGAAAACAAAGACCCAACAGACTTAAGTCTGGAGTCTCCAAACTCTTCGGGCTAAAGAACAGTCCAACTCGTCAACCATTAGGACAATCATTTATTTTAACCCATACCAAAAAGAAAACTCGATACCCAAAACACATTCCTCAGATATGAAAGATACTGACCATTTCTGTGCATTTAAAGTAAAACCCTGCAAAATAAAAAATGTAAGGGACAGATAGTCTTCTTTGGGTTTTTTGTTTTGTTTTGTTTTGTTTTTTAAATTACAAAATAGAAAAGGCTAGGAGGCCAGAAGAGCTGGCATATTCATCTTAGCTCTTGGGATTCTGGAAGTAAAAAAAAGAAGCTAGCGTTTCTTCATTTCTTTGATTCAGGCAACAGTTCAGCGTACGGTTTTCACAGCATAAGACCCACTACAAACGGAGTAGTTGTAAATTGCTTAAATTACAATTAAGGAATTTCTTTTAGGTTGCAAACATTTCTGTGATTAATCATTGTAATAGTCTTAACATCACCTGGCACGCTTCTGGCTGTGCACAGGGGGAGAAGTCTCTCGCAAGTCATCGCCTGCTCTGTAGGATGCAGCCCGAGTAGTTCGCGCAGGCGGGTATTGTGACGTAGAATTGGTTTATCAGTAATCTAGGACTATAGTTTAATCTTTTTGGCAGCTTTTCCCAGTGTACGATATGTAACCTTATCTGCTCTTTGTAGTAAACAGGGGGAAAAAAATCGCATGCAAAAAAATTTTTAAAAAATTTACGAAAGGGTGGGTGGGAGGGGCACAGTGGGCCAGATGTATAGTGAGGTAGATAAAAATATTATTCATAGTTTTGGACACAGGTTGTTTATATTTTATTTATTACATTGATTTTAATAAGATAAGTGACATTTGCAGTGCTCTTTTGAACAAAGCACATTTTCAGTATAAAAACTTTTTTTTAATAAAGAATGTCACTCACAACTTGAAGTTCTTCTTGACTGCCTGATAACCACCAGGCTGGAGCAGTTCTCCAGGCGCAGGATTGCCAGCAGGCCGAGGGGATCCGTCATTCTGTTTGAAGTTCTTAGGACAGGAGGTTATTGTAAGTTGGATTTATTTCCATTCTTCAAACTACTGAAATGCCCACATTGCCCCCTTTCAGCTCCCCTTAGGAATTACGCGGAGCCAGATGTTGACCATTGCTCAAGTGAGAGATTCTGGATCGATGAAGTGGCATAAAATACCTTTTGTCTATAGTTTGTGTTGTTTTGTTTCCATTCTTCTGTGGTGGCAAGTGCTCCGACTGATACTGTTCACTCTTGCTGTACTGAGTTTTGAGAAGGTGTTGAATTACCTGGCTTCTTTTCCAGGCTTGGAAATCCAACACTGCCGCCATTCTGAGCAAGATATATATGATGCATTCTTTTCAATATTGAGGAAAGTATCATTACCTATTGCTGTTCCCTTCATTCTTGTACTAGATCACACAAAGAAATAGAGAAGAAACAAAACTGTTCCAAAAAAAAAAAATGTATAAAATGCAATTGATGTACTGTAAAATGTCGGATTTTTTTTTTTTTTTTAACAAGCTTCGTATTAGAATCTTGTTCAGCTGTGTAGAGCTATATAACTCTCACTGTTTTATTAAATGCTGTTTATGGTCTGGAAGGAATGGTTAACCTATCTCAAGATTAACAAATTTGCACTAACATGAGCAATATTGATTTGAAAAAAAAAAGTATGAATTCATTATTTAAAAGATAAACTATGATTTTAAAGGTATATTAACACTGAAAGTACATTTTGACAAATAACATATTTAAGCCCAAAATATAAATGGTTATGTCAGATAACACAAAAGAACTATAACAATATAGATTGAGAAAAAAAAAAATGTGTTTCACTGTACATGTTGCTAACATGTACAAAGACAAACTCATATTGACATATTTTCTATTAATAAATCCTACTGTATTGTGGAGAATCGCTGGTCATAGTGCAATATGTTTAAACTCAGGAGTTGACTCCATAGATAGATGCCCGGCTTCACACAGCCAACAAACCCCTGCAATTTATTTATTTTCAGTATTAAGCGGATAGCTAACTTTCAGGTCTCAAGTCATTCGCTGCCCCCTCCCTCCCTCACCACCAGGTTCATGAGCACAACCTATTCTACAACAGCAAGCCAGGGGGAAGGGTATTTTTGCGAAGAACACCCAGTTGACCCCTAATTACGGCTGCAAGAGCTCAGCTGCCACCACTTACAGAGAGAGAGTTTATCTACATCTGTAGAAAAACCTAAAAAGCTCAAGGCAGGTGCCACTGGGTAGGACCAGGCTGTAAAAAATACAATCTTGGCCCCAATGTTACGTAGACCACAGCCAAGAAACATAGAGGGAGCCATTAATTTACTTGTGCGTTGCTGGAAGTCCCGGCATGCAGGCATGTAAGGGCTTGGGAATAATTGCTTCCCAGGACTGGGCTGCATGATCCTGAGAAGCATCTCGCCGGGGCGACTTGCAACCCACAGCAGAAATGCTGACTTATTTTTTTATACCTTGGCACAGCACAGGCTGTGCAAGCCAGTGCGCTGCAAGGGAGGCTTTCTCAACCCCCTGCCCCTCTTCAGTCATCTTCTCCTGCAGCAGGCAGAAAGAGCTCTGAGTTTAGCATTACTGCCTGTATCAAAGCGAGTGGTGAAAGGATTGGGAGGGACGGAGACAGCGATCCAAGGCTGGCGGGGGGGGAACGCACAGACACAAACAAGGGGCCTAAAAATACAGAAACTCAGAGCTGGTGCGTGGAGATACATCCCCCATAATTACTAACAGTGGGATGGACCCGACAAGACATTTTATGCACTGAGATCACCAAATATTACTAACAAGCTAATGCACTGAGCATTTAATAGCAGCACCATGATGTGCGCAAGGCTTTATGCTAGAAAAGTGGGAGGGAGCAGGAGAGGGAAACCGCAGGTCACCGCTGGGCACTTCCAGCTTCAGCCAGCAGAAGATGTTGGGCATGAGGGCAGTGACTGCTTACTGCTGTGAAGGAGAGGGATGAGGCTCCTGCTCAAAGGCTTTAAGGCTAGATCAAAAAGACATTAGGCAGCTAAAACAGAGGCAACTTTTTGCAAACCTCCCCCCTTGCCCCCCCATCTTCAATGGCAGACTGTGCTCCCCCCAGCAGGTACACAGACATCGGTGCAGACGGGGGCAAGCCCATCAAGGACCCAGGTTGCAAAGGCCCTTTACTGTCAGCTGGGCAATACCTGGCACAGGTGTGTGTCTGAGCAGTCACCCACCCTGAATGCTGCTGGTGCCGATGCCGGGGCTGGCCCAGCCATGGAGCAGCTCCAGCCACTTGCAATTGGAAGCCCAGCATTTTCCCTGGAAGGCCATACACACCAAAACTGGCTGAAGAACTGTGCAGTGCCAGGTCTTTTCCAAGGGACTAGCCAGTCTTTAAATAGTGGCCTAATGCCAGTCTCAGATATTTAAGCTGAAAATGGGAGATCAGAGTTTCATCCCCAGGCAAGGGGATTGAAGTCTGCAGCTGATCCCTACAGGGAGGGGGCACCCCCGCCTTCCAGGCTGCTCTAAAAAACAAGCGAGAAAAGCAATGACTGTC